CCATCAAGTCGCATACATTCCTGTTCAGTGCTGCAACTGGACCTCGTCAATGTGACGGTTGCAGCAAATTGATCTTACAATCCAGTGATTCCTCCAGCGACGCGGTCCATTGTCAGGTAGGGGCATGTATTATCGTGGTGGAAGAGAGAGAGGAGGATGGGTGCGCGGGGATTAATCGTGATGAGATTAAGAAAAATAAAATCTGTTGTATTCTTTGAAGAAACTTTGCGCTTCATCTTTTGCGTACGGATCTCTCAAAAAGCACAGTTCAACAGTTAGCGACCTGATTGGTGCGCTTTTTCGTAAATTTTGCATGTAAATGTGTGTGCCTTGATCTTTGAATATGTTACAGATTGCCTGGATTTCGCTTCGCAATGACACTTTGCTGTGGCGCCTTATAAATTCAATTTCGAAGAAGATATGTAGCAATCTAAAGCAGCAAAGATCCATGACGGATAGCTTCAGGTTGACGTGAGAACCATGGACAGCTCAACAACCGCCAATGATGCCACCGCAATCGAACTGCAATCGCTCATCGATGAAATGCGTTAGTTCTCCCTTATTGATGCTGGTTTTTTGAAGTAATCTAAGAGTTTGCACAAGCATGCAAAAATGGCTTATTTGATTGTGCGCCGCAGATATTTGTTTGTTTTTTGTTCTAGCATGCATTATGGAATAAATTTAACCCTAACTTTTACTAACTTCATTTACCACAGTCGTCGTACTGACGAGGTCCAGTTGTGGTAATGGTAAGAAATGTATACGGCTTAATGGACCGAAACATTTTTTACCATTGTAATAATCTTGCAAATTTTCTAATTTTCATTTCTCACTTTTTTTTTCCTTTTTTTTTTCTACATTTTATTCCTTTTTATTGGAACGTTCTATTACGAATTAGCCACTTACTTACGTCGAGGAGTCAAACCTGCCATCAGCTTGCTTCTTAATTAGTCGTTGAAAGAGGGGGACCATAGTTAGCTTTGTCGGCGCATGATTGCTGCTTTTACTGCAGCTGTTTCTGAGAACTTTTCTTCGCTTTCCACAGAGTAATGGAATGCAGAGATTGTAAATTTTCAACGTACTTCTTGTTCGTGTATCCAGAAGGGCCTTATTCCTTGGTAAAAGTGTTGTTTGGAATTGTTATCTTTCAAAGAAATCTTAGAGATAACGTAAAAGCAAGCAGAAATTTGCCATGGTGCTTAAAATTTCATCATATTGTCTGAAATACATATACTGTGCCTCTCGTTCTCGAGGTTAAATAAGAAGTAAAATTTATTAAAAAAAATTATTCCTGAAGTATTTATTGTTTTGAATTTTTTTCAAGTTTTTCCTTTCAATTTACATTTTAAAAATTTACCCTTTTGAAACGGTAGAAATCATTTTGCGATGGTAGAAATCCCTTTGAGTACATAATTTACCCTTTGAAAAAGAAATGGTGGAAATTATTTTGTGCATAAATAAGTTTATTTTTTTAATTTTTGACTTAATAACTCGGAATTTGATATTAATGAATTTCATTTTACGCCCTTTCAGGATTGCAAGATTTCGATTCAATTCGCTTTGCCACTTATCGATGTGCTTGCAAGCTGCGCTTTATACAAAAGAAAACTAATGGTAACTCCATTAGCGTTTGGAAAATTATTGCGATGTTTGCTTAAAGTTTAATTTTTTCGAGAGTAAAAAAGAGCCTTAGTTGCATCAGTGCAGCGTCAAATAGACTGAAGGCTCAGGGCTGAGAATTCCTTGATGTTCGACGGTTGACGAAGCCATAGGCGGGAAAGTTGATCATGATATTCGGTCAGCGAATACATCCTGTTATTTTCTTAGAAGAAACCCTTTTTTTGCAATTGAAATATAAAACGATACAGCTGTAGGTGCTGATGAAACTGCTATTTTATGATTTGTGAATGTTATTGAGGAGGCCATTAAATAAGTAATGTAATTGCAGTGCATCTTGTTGACATTTGGAATATGATTGAATCTTTCCGTGAAAATGGCTTAAATGCACTTCCAATTACTTCTCAGGTTCGTTTACACATATCCATTTTCAATGCTCAGTGCCATCGAATCTGAGCCGAAACTGTGCGTGACTTATTTTCTCTTTTTTTTTTTCTTAGTGTGGCCTTATATGTGTTTTTGATATGTTATCATCTTTTACCGAAAACTATTCGGTTTTGTTAAAATCAGCAGTAATCAAACTTGGAAAACGGGCATTTCTACCAAAATTTCTTTCTGGGCACAATGGATTTGTTTGCAGGTGAAGATATCACGTTTGGAATTATTACTGGCAACAATTTTCCATAATTTAAATAAGCGGTTGCCGAGCGGGCAGCACATCGACACCGATAAATCCATCTCGCTGTTGCTCAGTTTCCTCGTCGGTGCGTATGACAGGTTGTTTTTGATAACGATGATGGTAGTGTGGGACCGCGAAGGTATCACATACGTGGGTAGCTGAATTTAGAAAAATTTTGAGCAATCTGATTTTTCTCTGTCTTTTTTGGCAAAATAGTTTGTGTTTCTGGAAGCGTACGCGTTCGCATCCGGTATTGTATTGATTTTGGTGTTTGAATTGTTTGAGCAAACTGTGCTGCGCATTTTGGGCATTTTCAACTTAGTAGAAATCAAATTTCAGGTTACAAACCGGCCGGCTAACTGTTTTCGCCATAAAAATCGCGCTTGCTACAATATGCGCCGGCAAACTGATCGACAAACTACGGTGTAAGTGCTGATAAAAGCCATTGCCCACTCATGAAATGACAATGAAAATGCGGAAAAAAGTGTAGGAAGCAAAAAAAAGCGATGATTTTTGTGAAAAAAAAGAAAAAAATTTATTATTTTCCGAGATGGATTTTTTGTTATTTGTAGGGACAGTTAATTTACGTTATTATAAATTTGAGCGCAGGGAATCGAAGTTGCTGGGTCTGTCTGGGTGAAGTTGCAAAAATCAAAATTTCTTGTACTTTTCTATTTTTTTATAAGGGATAAAGAAGTAAAAAAAAAATTTTTGCTCGATTGCTGCGGGGTCTCGATCACATAATGTTTCCAGTGACAGAGCAGGTGCTATGGATGATACTTTATGTCTAAGTACACCAACACTAGAACATATTAGTACAGTGCAGAAGGGAATAAACAATAGTTATAAATAAAAGGAAATTGTGGCGAGGGGACCTGTCGAGGGAACCGTGGTATCAGATATTCTACTAACATTCGGGCTGTGGTGGATTTATCACAAAATCATGCGTTCAAGATGTAGCAGCAGACCATTCAAGCAATATTCGATTGCTTCTAGCCATAGATCTTAGCGGATTAACTGCAAAAGTCCCTAGGCTTTTGGAAGATTGAGATTCATATTGTCTTTCGAACCGAGCAAAAATCTGATCCTGATGGATGGATTGTGACAATCTGGGCCTCGGCTGATTCACTCAAATTGTAGCCTGATTCCTGCCAGACACATCCCTGTTCTTTGACTGTCTTGTAACTGGAAGCCATTTTGACGGCTGCTTGTTTAGATGCATTTTCGCAAGTGTCGGATAGCAATGGTATTATGGAATGGGATAAGTTCAGCGATTATCTGCAACAAGTGCTTGCACTTGCAACCGCTGTCTTCGAAGGCCCTACTTTCGGCTATACCGAGACAGCACTTGAGCAGTGCTTCCAGAAAGTTCGTATTACTTGTCTTTTATTCTTCCTTTGACTTATTTTTCATGCAAATTTGTTGCATTAAAAATGCTAAGGCCGCCTAATTATTGTTGTGTTTGCCGTGTATGTATATATGTATAGATGTGTGTGTGTGTGTGTGTGTGTGTGTGTGTGTGTGTG